ACAAACGCTATGCAAAGTCTAAACAGCAAGTTCGAAGGCCGAGGGGCAACACATTCAACCCCAGTCCTTTAAATGCGGGCTCTCACCCGAGGCAAACAGTTGCAGCTGAAGCGGCTGAGCCCAAAGAAGACACTGGCACGACCTGCCACAAGGCTACGGGTGAGGTTTCAGGGCGAAGGCTTCAAGTACAGCGACTTGCGCGACACTTCTTGCTCTCCCCCTCTCACTTGCCCTACTCGCTGTATTTCAAGGCTAGGACTGGTGTTGAGGTGCCAGGGGTAGGAAAGGCGCGAAGGTGCGTGGTTTGTGTGGGGCTTTGATGCTGTGATCCCTCTGATTGTAAAGTTCAGGAGCGTTCAGGGCTGAGTGCAGGCATTCTGTTTCAAGCACTCCGGCTCATGCGTTGGAGGCTGGAGCGCTTAAGGTTACAACAGCAAAAACTGTATACAATACAATACACCGTGACGCGGTCAACATAAAACCATATAAAACCCCAACTTCGGAATCCCACACCCATAACCTCGACAGGTAGTGTCTGGAGTTTTAATTTGAAGATTTGAGATTTGCCTTTACCGCAAGATTGAGAGCTCCAGGTGAGGTTAATCTTACAAATCATAGTCAACATGATGAAGGTCGAGGTTGTATGCAGGTCGATCGAACAATTCGTAGTCGTAGATAGTCGGAAATCTGTAAAGTGCGTGAACCGTCATTTCTCAACCTCCTTGCTGTTGCCTGCAACTTCTGTGGGGGTGCGGCGGTTGAGGGCACCTGACACCGTTTGGGTTTGGGCCGCTTCGGGGGGTCCTGAGGCCGCTGCGAGCCTTGGGGGAACAACAAATAACAGCAAATTAATAGCACAAGTAAGGACACATAAAGAACAAGTAACGACAAACGCAGACAAACAAAACCAAATAGAACAAATCAAACCAACTACAGTAACAACCAGTAAAACAACGCAAACAACTAACGCCTACACTTATGAGGTCCAGCCGGAGGAGAACCTAGATTACGGATATGAGTGTTGGAAGTCTGAAAATGGCTGCTGGAAAGAACCCTAAAACTGCATCCATGTAGGCTCTGACCGGGATATGGGCACAGAATGAACGTGGAAAAGCTTGAAGCTAGATTTGGGTGAGCAGTAGGGGTTGATGTTTGATTCTTCTGTGGGCGTGTTGCGTTTGTTCCTCAAGTTGAGGGGGCCCTCTCCGCCCTTTCCGACTCCACCCCCATCCCACCCCCACCATCCAAGCCGGAAGCGGACGTCCGTTTCCCCACATCCAGTTTACATCCATCTTCCCAAGGGTTGACATGGACATTTCTTTGTGCCCCACTGCACAATAGACAATGGATGTTGAACATGGACGTTGGTTTCGTAAAATGTATGTTCCCACTGTAAGGGGGGGTGAGGCGAGAGGGGGGAGAAAAGGAGGCAGGCATACAGGGGGCCGGGTGGTTCAGCAATTCTTCCCAATTGTCGTCGCTAGTCGCTAGCCATGACACCCAAAACGGGTGGGAAGGGGTGTTGGGTATCTGAGATTTTCCAACGAAAGGCAGCAAGCATCTTTATTCACAGTTGCATCCGGCTTCGCCCTTTCGGGCACATTGTTGGGTGGTGTCTGTGTCTGTAAACTGTGGTACAGACTTGTGGGCAGCTGTATCATATAATGAGATTGCGTGGGGCGGTGTCGATGTTTAAGTTGCAAACACGATGTACAAAATGATTCAGCCGGGCCAAGACAAACATTCGCACGCGAAGACAGCATTCAGCGGGGTCCATGAACCTCGGCCCCGAAGATTGCCAGCATGAGGGTATCGGGTTTAGGGGGAGCTGAGGATGGGGTTTGGGTTGGGGCTGGGGCCTCGGCCGATTACATGTGTGGCTTTGGCTGCGACTCGTGTTTGTTCTGGGGTGCCGACGAAAGACACGCACACAAAAAGAACATCAAAAACGAGGCACATGACAGAAGACGTGTGACATACGTTAAGACACACAACATCAAAAAAACAAGACAACCAATACACACGCTGCCATCTGTTCTGCCCTGTGAACAAGTGCCGGCAATGCTCTCTGCTGGTACGTTGCTATCCAGTTTAGATGCTATAGCCTACAGCTCACGAACTAACAAAGCAGATAAACACATGTAAACAAAACAAACAAAGACATGTACAGCCAAATCAGGTTAAGGCCAATTTTGGGCCTAATAACTCCATGAAAACCACAAGCAAGAAACCATGAGCACAAACCATTGCACAATAATCAAACCTGATGCTCATGACCGACCCCGGAGTTCAAAAACACAAAATCAAATCACACAACAAATGCAGCAATCATCAAAACCAAGTGGGAATAACATGAGAACCGAATGAGCCGTTGTAGAGTTTACCAAACTTTCGGAAAAATTTCCAAGACTTTGCTACGCTGTCTTAACTTTTGAGAATTGCATTTCCCCACTCGGTTCTATTATGTTTTCTTTTTGTTCCAAGTGCTTCAGTGTTGTTGCAAAATTTCTGGACCTGGAAGGACATCAGGCACCGAACCCAATGAAAAGCAATGAACATTACATGGAAATCAACTGAGAACCGCATGAACTTCGAATCAGCAAGACCAACATTTCCACTGGTTCCATTTTTCCAACCTTGTTCCAACATCTTCCATGTTTTTCAAACTGCTTCGGCGTCTTTGGAAATTTGTGGATTTCAGATCTACTGGACTTGGAGAGGTATCAACAACGCACCCAATGAAAACAACTGAGAACCGCATGAGCATAGACTCAGCCAGAACAAGGTTGACACTAGTTCCCACTCATTTCCAACGTTGTTCCGTTAGCCGTTTCCAAAAGCGTTTTGTAAATGTATGGATTTCAGATCTACTGATTGGACCTGTGAAGACATCAGACACCGAGCCCATTGGGCAAACATGAGAACATGTGAAAAGTTGATGCCCGTGTCTATTTGAAGTTATTCCCGTTGCGCCTCTGAGTGCCTAGGCACCAGGATACCATCTGCGAACTCCAAACTGTCCCATTACTTAGTAATTTCTCTGTTGCTAGTGTTAACAGGACCGGGACTACATACAAATACTGTCAAGCAAAGCCGAGTAGAGTTGAAACCAGACATGCAAAAAATTCATACTACAAGACAACTGAAACGAAGCAAATAACACACACGAAGACTAGTGACTAGTGCAGACACAAGCCGAGGCATGATGGCTCCCACAAATTTATTCCAGGCATCTAAACCCCTAGGATCTGAGGCTACGATCAGCTCAGAGTTTCCGCAGCACGAACTAGCTGTGCCCAGTGAGCTGCAGTTGATTCAGGTCGTAACTTCTTCTCCTACTTCTTCTACTACTACTACTACTGCTACTGCTGCCACTACTACTGCTGCTGCTACTACTACTGCTACTACTACTACTATGACTACTACCACTACCACCACTACTGCTACTACTACTACTACTGCTACTACTACTACTACTACTACTACTAATACTACCTCTACTACTACCGCACTTCTACTACCACTTCTACTACTACTTCTACAACTACAACTACAACTACTACTACTACTACTACTACTACTACTACTACTACTACTACTACTACTACTACTACTACTGCTATTGCTGGAGCTACAGCGTCCACTGCTTGCTCGTAGGGCAACCAACCTTGCCAACACGATACCCCTGAAGCCTCCATGCTGATCGTAGTTTGATTGACAAGTAGAGCAACAACCGGACGCAACAAAGAAAAACACCGCCACGAAAGACTTCTCCTGCGACAACTCCAACAAGAACCCCACCTCGGAAGGCTATCACAACAGGCCAGTCCTGCCTCCCCACCCAGGCTGACTCGAATGGCCGGAGACATGGCCTCGTTCTCGGCAACTGGGTCCTTTCGAATTACACAGCTTAATAGTCGTGCAGAAATAGTGATAGTGGTGAAAGTTTGTAGTAATAGCAGTAGTAGTAGTGGTGGTGGTAGTAGTCGTAGTAGTAGTAGTAGTAGTAGTAGTAGTAGTAGTAGTTGTTGTTGTCGTAGTAGCAGTAGTAGTAGTAGCAGTAGTCGTAGTAGTCGTAGTACCAGTAATAGTAGTAGTAGTAGTAGTAGTAGTAGTAGTAGTAGTAGTAGTAGTAGTAGTAGTAGTAGTAGTAGTCGCCGTGGTCGTAGTTGTAGTAGTAGAAGTAGTGGTAGAAGTGGTAGTAGAAGTGCGGTAGTAGTAGAAGTAGTATTAGTAGTATTAGTAGTTGTAGTAGTAGTAGTAGTAGTAGATGTTGTAGTAGTAGTAGTAGTAATAATATATAAGAAGTAGTAGTAGTAGCAGTAGTAGTCGTAGTAATAGTAGTAGTAGTAGTAGTAGTAGTAGTAGTAGTAGTAGTAGTAGTAGTAGTAGAAGTAGTCGTAGTAGCAGGAGCCGTAGAAGTAGCAGAAGCACGAGCAGTAGCAGCAGCAGTAGTAGTAGAAGAAGTAGTAGACGCAAAAGTAAAAGTTGTAGCAGTAGCAGTAGCAGTAGCAGTCGCAGTAGGAGTAGTAGTAGTAGTAGTAGTAGTAGTAGTAGTAGTAGTAGTAGTAGTAGTAGTAGTAGTAGAAGTGGTAGTAGTAGTAGTAGTAGTAGTAGTAGTAGTAGTAGTAGTAGTAGTAGTAGTTAGTAGTAGTCATAGTAGTAGTTAGTAGTAGTTAGTAGTAGTTAGTAGTAGTTAGTAGTAGTTAGTAGTAGTTATTAGTAGTCAGTAGTAGTTAGTAGTAGTTAGTAGTAGCAGTAGTAGTGGTAGTAGTAGTAGTAGTAGTAGCAGTAGTAGTAGTAGCAGTAGTAGTAGTAGTTGCGGGCCCAAAGTATCACCTTCTGCTAATCCATGTCAAAAGCGTCTGGAAGTACGAAAGGTCACGGACGGTTTGTTGCACTTTGCGTGGTCTCCCAAAGCTTGGAGTTCAACCTAGTCAGAACATTGGTCGAGCACTTAAGAACCCAACCTAAACGGCACAGCTAAACTCCCGCTTGCTCTAGAGCACTGCAGGTGCCGCCCCTGTCTCCTGGCGAAGGGCGAGGTGCAAAGATACGGTGCTCTCCTCGCGGATCCGCGCTGTGTAAGTAAGGCTTTGCAAAGCTTCAACAGAATGCCAAGCAACATCCAAGGAGGGCAAGGGTTAAGCCTGCCTATGGTGGCATGGGATCTCTTGTACACTTGTTCCTGACACGCCGATTTGGGCCGGAATAAACTCCTGTCCCTTTTCGCCCCAATCCCCAAACCCCGACATCTTGAACTCTTATATAGGATTTCCGTGTGGGGTTTGGGGTCGGTAGATTTTGGAGACAGGGCTCCGTCCATATACCTACCCTCTCTGCCTAGCGAAAAAACCCAAACACCTTCAGGCTTCGGGGGCGTCGTTGGACAAGTTGAAGCTCTTGGATCTACGTTCAAGAATTTTTGACTGGCACCCTGACACGTGGACTCTGGACGGCTTGGGGTGTTTCGAGGAGTTGCTTCGGTGTTACAGCTTGTCGGGAAAACATGGGAAAACCATCAACTTCAGAGCAAACTTGGGACTCCTCCGCCGCGTAGTAGGACTTCCGGGCTGTAGAGATGATGCTGGCCTGCCCGCGGCTTGAGCTGTTGGGGTCTGGTCGGATGGTTCAGGGCCGGGGTGTTTATGACCAATAAGCAAAAACATATTCAAACCAGCAGCTGAGCCGAGACGAATCTGAAGCGTCGAAGTGTCAGCAAAATCGCGTAGCAAGGAGGGCCTTGAGGGTTTATGCTGTAGTTTGAGATAAATAAGCACCACTGGCTCCCCGAAACACTCGACAAAACAGGTGCACGAAGCGTTGATGACTGCTGCCACCTCACCTAGTTGCATCTGTGCTACCAAACCCAAACCTTAATTCTCAGCTCTAGGGGCGATTGCCCTAAAGCCTCCCTCGACAACTGCATGAATGCTCAGCCCTTATGACACAATGCACCTTAGGTAGACTATGGCCAATAACCGCCTGTACACTTCAGCACCGTATTGAACTCGATCAGATTACTGGGCAACCCACAAAGGAGCTACCAGTAGCATGAGGCCTCGCTTTCCGCTCTTGCCGACCTGTGTCGGTCTCAGGGCTTTCGGGTTGGGGGGGTAGTCTTCCGGTTTGGGGCTTTGGTTGCTTCATGGGTTCACAGTAGTCTACAGAGTCTGATCTGGTGTGGTGTCAGGGTTGAGACTCTAGGTTGCATGCTTGGAGTCTCTTTGAATTCAGGGTTTAGCAAGTTTACGTTAGCATCCCGTCTTACAGTGTCCGGTAATTCGGCTGATGGGTGGTGCTTTATAAACTGTCACAGCATAACCGGCCCGGGCTTGTAAATGTAGGTTCCGGTCGCATCCCTCAATATCCCTCAATCCCTGAATCTCAAGCCCTAAACCAAAAACGTTAGATTCTTAAATCCCAACCCCTCAACCCCAAACTTTGTACCCCCTGAACCGTTTTATCCCTGCCTCGGTCCACTCCTCGCAGAGGGCGGGCGCCGGTCGACCTAGCGGGAGACTTGAACTAAGCACATAAGCCACACGGAGGATCAAGCACCTCGATAAACATCAACATGGTTATTGAGGCACAAAAATCCCAGAAAGCTACAGTAGCATTGTGGGTGGGTTTCAGCTTATGGTCTAGGGCGGAGGGGTGGTAAATCCAGACGTATGGGTCTGGCAAGCCCAAGTTGCAGAAATCAAGCCCTAATGCCCAAACACCACTAACCTCTGGCATGGAAACGCAAGCATTTGAGCATCGCCTTTTCCACGCTTGTGATGTTATCGGACTCTTACTATCAGGCGGCTACGCTCTGTGACTTTCACACTCGAGCGCTGAAGTTCAAGGCCTAAAACCAAATATCATAGCATGGAATGTAATTACATCCAGTACTGCTTGGGGCTTACGGTTCGGGGTTTTGGGTCAAGGCTCGTGCACCTTCGACACCCACCCCTGCAACCCTACAGAATATCGACAACCGAACTGTCAATAGTAAAAGAAAACTATTGCTGGCACTATCGCCCGGAGTACTCGGAACCCGGCAGCGGGTCAAGGGACCATCACAACTATCGCGGGCAGTGAGAGCACTCAGTTGCGCATACATACATCCATCATCCGTCCATTCATTCACGCTTTCGTTACATACATTCATATGCACACATATTTCATGTAAGAGCCATTAATATGCAGTCATGCATCTATGTATGCTGTATAAGTCTACAGAACAAGTTCCGAATCTCTGACCTCCGCCTTGAGCTTTTGTAGCTCGAGCTCCGCAGCATGCACCTGACACAGCAAGGGGAGGTTCGGTTTAACTCATAGCTTTAAAGCACTGTTCTTTCGCACGGTTGAATTTTGGTTCAGGGTTTGGGGTCGTGGAGTTTATGGTCAGAGATTTCAAAACCTGAAGCCTAGATTCTAGACCTTATCGGGGTCAAAGGCAGTGCAGGTGTGCGTGTGTGTGTGTGTACACGGACTGCCGTACACCAGTGGGAACTTGCTTCTGGCATTAAGTCGGGGGCGAACAGCTTGTCGGCTTTCCGTCCACCCCGTAACCGTGAAAATATTGTCTTTTGCTTTAGGGGCATGTAACTCGCAAAAATGAATCTCTAGAGGCCTGTCAACGCGTGACTGAATTCTCCGACCTCGTATGGAGCATGCTGGCTCGTCAGTCTCGGAACGATTCAGGCTTGGAGTCTGTTGCTTGAAGGTCTAAGGCACCAACTGTTGTAAGCAATACCTAGGCACCCTGCCGAACTTGCATTTACGAAAGTGCCAGCAAGCGAAGTACGTACTGGAACGCACAGAGTAACACTTGTTGGAAATGAGGTTGAAAAATGAGATCAAACTCGCTGAGACAACATCGCAGCAGGAAGACGCTCCACCCACCAAGCGATTCAGCAACCCTGAAGCTCGGAATCCTGAAAGCCGGAATCCGACAAGCCAAGGACCTGCACCCATCACTCGTATTGCCAAACACTACAAGCCCGTTTAAACTCAGAGATGTTCCTAAAGTGCCAGTGTCATTGGCGAAACAACTCTTCACATCATTACACCTGATACCTTTGCATCACCGAATATCCCTAAAGAAGGTTTATATACGCTGAACACTAAACCTTCGACGTGCTATTGCACAGCCGGGCCAGGCCTGCTGTGAACTCGCAGTCCGAAGGCGCACGAGCTCTTGTTGCAAGTCCTGTCAAGATGGCTTCTTCTGCGAGTGTGACATTGGACAGGGTGTAGAACACAGAATGAGACAAGCTACTAGAACCAGGTTATGTATTTGGGTGACAGGCTTCAAGGACCACAATGCTGGCATAAACATTGACTCATAGGGTTTGGGGCTTAGGCTTGCAGAGCTTTGGAGTTTGATGCTCTTTCGAAGTTGAAGCTTAACACCTACAGGGCGTAGGCCCTAGATCGCATGGGGGGCCAGGGCGGCCTGCCAGAAAGGCTCACAAGTCACAAGAGTACGTCGCCCATCGTGCTGCACACCCCAATGAACACCCTCCCTTGAGCCGCCCTGGAACAGGAACACAAAGAACGGATACAGCAGAGTCAAGCTGACTTACACCAAATCCTGTACACGAACTCTGTTAGTTACCGGGGTTCCTGTATCAAACCTTAAGGATCCCTCACCTGACGGATGAACGCCCAAAGCCTCCTAAACCATCCTAAACCCTTAATCGTACTCCGGAAGCCAAACGAGGCAATCTCCAAAGCTCAAAGTCGTCAAACTAAGCCCTCTGCTTGCACTAAACAGATCGTATTAAGCCACGATACTCATAGGCTCATGGTTTGGGAGGTTCTTGGTAAAGGCCACAGCCAAGAAAATAACACAAGAACTGGCACCTCCATGCGGCTGCGCTGGTTCACAAGCTCCGCCTCGAGGGTCGTGCAGTGTACTTGCTCCTGAAGCTGAAAATCCAGGGCTTCGGGTTGGGCGCTCAGGACTTGGAAGCTTGTGCACTAGAGTGCATGCGCTTACGTTACGGCATCCACGGCAGCCGTCGCGTCTGGAACAGATGCACGGTGCGAACCATTCCCTCAATTGCGCATTAATACACACACAGACAATTTCACACATCCAGAACATACATGTGCCATAGCCAAGCATATCTGAGTCTGATGTGTGCATTTGGGTGTGAAGTGTCTGTCGTGTATGTACGTATGTACTGATGTACGTACGTATATGTATGCAGGCATGTATGTATGTACGTGTGACATTGTGAACATGTATCCTTCTGCTTGACGGTGTTGGCAAAGCTTAGCTGAATATGGCGCTCATAGCACTGCTTGTTTTACAATCTGACATGTAGGAATCACAGAAGGGGGATGAAGGGGGCGGTAGGGTTCAGGGATTGAGGCAAAGTTGTTCGACTTTCATGCTATACATATAATATACGTATGCATATATACATACATATTATGTATATATATATATATATATATATATATATATATGTGTGTATATCTATCTATCTATATATATATATATATATATCTGTGTGTGTTTTGTTTATAGGCCGAAATGTTTATATACGCAAATCCCGGTTCTCGGGTGTGTCGGGGATGTAGACTTAGGCTTGTAAACTGGGTTGCTTGTATGTGACTGTTGCTTAAGCATGTCGGATCTGAATTTTGGAAGAGATTTAGATTTGCGGATGTCGGCATGTGTGTTTTGACAGGGCAGTTAAACCCGTAGGTTTGCAGCAGCCTCGCTTTGAAGGGGTTATAGCTTTAGCTTTGTGCAAGTAGTAGAGTTTACTTTAGATCTGAGATACTAGTGCTGACCTTCCTTATCCTCACCCATAACACCCCAAGCCTATCGCAAACTGAGGACCTTTTGAAACACAAACTCTCAACCGAATCCAGCCTGTTTGAGCGAAATCGCAAGATCAGCCGCCTGGCGCATCTCACGCTGCCGCGCCTGGAGAAGTATGGCGTCGGAAGTTACGGCTCTGCGTGCTTCAACTTGATATCTCCGAATCGAAGGAAATCTTTAAGCATTCCAGCTCGTTGTACTTTCGGCAGGGAAGATAGACTTTGTTCAAAACCTTCTGACTTGTGCAGTATCTAGGCCCCAGGCTTCTTCTGCCGAATTCATCCACCGCTTTCGGCTTGGCAAACCCTCCACACCATCCGATAGAACATATGCAGCCAAAACGAACAAGATGATTCCTTGTCCGAAACATGAAGGTGAGCCGGTCCGGGAGGCACCAGGCTGCTAATCCATTCATTTTGCGCCTACGACTGGCTAGGTCGCCTGGCCCTAACCAACACAAGACGACTGCTGAACCATTGAACCATGCATCGGTTGATCTGGCATCAAGCCTTGGTGTGCCGGCCATGTACTCGAGTTTCATGGTTATTCAGTGGTTTAAACGCTGCGGTGACTGACTATTGTTTATACCTGTGCTCGATCAATCTGTTCATTGTGTCGCTAGGCTTAGGAGCCTGAACCCGCCACCACCAAGCCAATGATCAAATCACTCCATCTGCTCCTATGTGAGGTACAGTAAGGCCCCGAAACGCGCAACATGCTCAAATCGCCATGAGGATTCTGGGTTGGGTGTCAAATATGCAACCAACTTCTATGCAGCACCAAACCCTCCCCACTCTGGCCTCCTGGGCACACTCTACTTCCGCCACGAGGCCCGCTCTCTCGGCAGCCTGCGTCAATTGGCCCAGAGTTCTCAGGGTGATGGGTTTTCGAACTCCAACAACACCATGCGTATGAGGGGGAATGAATGACCCAGAGGCAGGCACAGGCAGAGGCAGAGGCAGGCACAGACAGGCCGGCATACAGACATGCAGACATGATATGTACATAACATATCTGCTACATCGTACTAGTGATGTCATTGTATCTACTCACTCTTCCATCTCTTTCATTTCGAGAACATGCACATATAAACGAATCCTGCCAGGAGTAGCTTTAACACCCCAGCACCATGCTTCAGCGCAAGCAGAATGTGCACCGGAGTCATAGGAACAGGTTTACACACATACAGATGCCAAGCGCGATGCTGAACGTTAAACCCAAGAACAACACATGCTACCAGCAGTCCCAAAGCAGTTGAACATGGGCCAACCTGCTTTGAGGCTGCGCTTTGTCGCGCCAGCTCAGCTTTCTGGAGCTCCTCTAGGGCCTCCTCCCAGGCTCCCAGGTTTCTTCACAAAGGGCGCCAAGACGGTGCAGGTCAGTGCGTAGGAATAAAGCCAACCCGATTCAGATGGCTCCCCCAGCTTTTATCCGCTCGGGCATGCTGTCTCGGATGTGAGGTGTGGAGCTTGCTGAAGCTTCCGGTTAATCTTAACCTATATAACAATTCAACAATCCCGAAAACACAAGCCTGAATGAAAAGCTTCAGTGCAGATCGCAAAGCTGAAAGTGTAGCCTTGCAGCCCCCTACTGTGCAGCCTGATTTGTAAACCCGCAACATCCCACAAATGACTGCCGCAACATTACCGTCATTACACCATAAAGGCAAGTAAACTCCTGAGCGGTGCGATTCGCGGCCGCCACCTTGGTCAGAAGCTGGCGTTGCAGTTGCAGGCATCTCGGGTGCGGGTTTAACCGGCAGAGTGCATATAATTTGAAACCCCTTCGATAAGGAGACTACTACTACTACTACTACTACTACTACTACTACTACTACTACTACTACTACTACTACTACTACTGCTACTGCTACTGCTACTACTACTACTACTACTACTACTACTACTACTACTGCTACGGGGGGTGAGGTGGGGTTGCGAACAACAAGGGGGGAAGGGGTTGTTGTTCGTGTTCGACTCAATGGGAGGGGAACAACAATAGGGGGGGTCTTCGAAGAACGGAAGTGGGAGGGCAACGACAAGAGGAGGGGGGGGGGGGGCGTTGTTGTTCTAAGAACACTTCGCGGGGGACAACAACACGGGGCGGGGAGGGGGTTGTTGTTCTCTAAATCGGAGAACAACACCCCGTCCCACCCCTCTATCGATGGGGTATGTACAATTTCGGCTTGTAGGTGCTGATGGCTGTTAAGCTGGAACGCTGAAAACTTCTGAAAGATATCGCACCGAACACCCACAAGACCCTACCAAAACCCCAGTATGGAAGAACATGAGACCCTGAAACACATAAGTTGTTCGCGGCCTTGAGTCTGCAAATAACAACACACGAAAAATTAAATGAAGCACTCCGAAAACATCCACAGCTCTTCACAACCATCCAAGCCCAACGGCAAACTCAAATTCCCGTCGAATTCCCTCATGCTCGGCAACACCCCTTGGAACCTTGACGAAAGCGTCGGCCAGTGCAGGTCAAACAGCTCTTTACAAACAAACATGATCAAACATGCAGATAGACAGATCAAATCGTTTGCGCCACGCTGCACTGAAATACATTACATAAATGAGAATACGAATAACCACGTGACGTCTATGTTGAAACAAATAGCACGTTACATTCCACTCCGTTTCACCCCAAACCAGTCCAGGACATGTCATGGAACGCACGCACCGCGCAACACTGCATTACATTGTATTCCATGTCACTCCGCTCTATTACATTACATTGCATTGCAGCGTTTACATTTCGCAACAATACCTTCCATGGCCTTCTAGTACATTATGTTTCATTACTTCATTACATAACCTTAATTGAACACCACACATGGTCACACTCCAAATAAACCAGACATCGCACGCACAAGCCATATAACAAATATTCAGGCACATCCACTGAACGCATACATACCTCGAACACATACATACGTACATACTTGATTAACTACCAGTATTAAGTACACACGTACACTTACTTACTCCGATACTTACATGCAAACATACACATACACATATATTCATAGATGCATACATACATATGTACATACGTACATATGTGCATACATACGCGGGCACATGCATACATAAATACTTGCTTACGGACTCACAATCTTACATACTCCGATACATATGCACAGACATACACACCTGCGAACGTACATACACAAATGCATGCAGGAATGGAATACATAAGGATATCTACCTATCCTTACGGCTCTTTACAGATAACCCCGGACTCCCCAAACCTTCAAGGTCGGATATAAAACGCACCAAACCCCGAAACAAATGCAAAGGCCTGGAGATCCCTCTCCTGCTGCGCTTCTGCCAGCGCCTGGCACAGCCAGACTTACGCACGAAGCTCCAGATTGGTCCGGGCATGTAGGGTAAGAACTTCTCAAGGTATCCTGAATAGAGCCAGTAGTGTTGCTTGGAGGACCGCTCAAGTGCGGGGGTTTGAGGGTGTAGACTGGGGGTCGTCATGAGGATTAGGTCAAGTTGAACCCTAAGCTCGAAACACGTGGCTACCCAAAACGCGTAGCTGGATTTCCTACAGGAGTCGGCCTGATGGTGGGGTGTAGAGTATTAACAACCCTCATGTAAAAGCTACGAGGTGAAAACACGAGCCTCGCTCCGGAGGACATAAACGGAAAGGCTCGTAGCACCGAATACTGCATGAAGGACAAAGAAGGCCAGGCACAAACCTCGTCACAAACGTTAGCCATGGAGGCTGAAGCTGCGATCATTAGATGCATGTGCTGTAGTTTCATACATTGAAAATCCAAACTGGAGAAGCACATCTGTGAATCTATATATCTTCAAATATGTAGATATACAATATAGAAATATATACGGCATGAACATTTAGTTAATTATTAGAAAGTGCACAGGTATGTTACGGCATTTTTGCATGTGTATATATATATATATATATATATATACAAACAACACATACGTAAAGGTTTGTGCTTGCTCGTGTATTTGTGTATTTATTCATCTCTCTGCTTGTGCATGCGCGATAGGGAAGGCAAAGGAACTAGCTGGACAAACCACTGAACCTCAATAGCTGCAATCTGTAATTAAGCCCACAACCCTACCCAAATCCAATCTGCACGGCCCAAAATAAAGAGTCCTCCGGAAACGTGGATCCCAATGCAAAAACTCTTGAGGTCTTGCTCGGGCCTAAGTTTGGCAGGCCTGACGGATAGTAAACTCCATGGCTCATAGGTACCCTCGACAGGCAGAGCCTCATTTTCGTAAGAATGCCCTCGCTGCATCCAAACGCCTAAAAACCAATCATGCATGAAAAGGTGTAGACTCTGTAGACTAGCCATTCCTCCAAAGCGCGCAGCCTTGCAGCCACAACCTCTGAACGATGCAAAACTCGTGAAGCCTAGATCGGTCTGCGAAAGTCCCGACCCCTAAAACATAGGAACGCACCAGAGCGCTGCGATTCGCCGCTACCACCTTCGTCGTCTCAAGATGGGTGGCGCGGACATGTTGGGGGACTGGGAAAGCAAAGGGTTCTGGAGTTGGTGTTTAGAGATCAGGCATCAGCGGTTTTGAGGAGATTGTTATTCTGCGTCAGGGCCTCGAACTTGGCTCAGGCATTGTGGAGATGTCCATCTGTGTCCGGGGGTTGCTCTTTTGAGGCTCTTGGGACTCTTGGGCTTACCATGTCAGAATCGCCATGACACCCCGCACGCCACAGGCCAGGAGCTGTGCAACATTCAAAGCTCCCTTGTCGCTTCAGGCCTTGCATTAGGCATCTGCCAGAAAACCGAGCAGGCCTTGAGTCCAACAAAACCAGAGTCGCTTCAACAAATCCCGACGGTTCCTGGTGAGTGAAATCGTAAACATAAACCAAGCAACAAAGACGCTAGCAGAATTTTACAAACCAAATGCCGGTGAACCGTCCACCCCAAACCTCTCAAGCCCACAGACCCTACAGCCCCAAACAACTTTCAAACCCTGAGACCCTAACGCCCCAAAGCAAAAAACCCAAACCCGCGCGGAACCTGGAGATCCCTCTCCTTCTGCGCCTCCGCCAGAGCCTGGAGATCCGGGAAATTTTGGGACACACTGGGGACATACTTTGGGCTGCTGCTACCTGCCTACAAATACCCTCCAGAATGAAAAAGCATTTAGGGATCAGGACCGTGCCTGCGAGTAGAAAACCTGAAAGATCGAGGCTCTGCGATGCCTCGCGAAGACTGGCGGCGTCGGCGGCCATTGCTGGCAGCTGCTGCAGCTTTGCCTGGGCGGTTTTGAGCCCTTTATAGGTTTGGAGTGGCTAGAACTTGGGGCTGGTTTTGGATTGCTGAACTCCTCTTGGCTTCGATAATATGAAGAGCTGCATGGTGTAAAGGCTTCAGGGGTGTTCAAGCTTCAGCTGTGGTTCCCATCAGCTGGCAGGACACAGTTGTGAAAGGTTTTCATGGACTGCTTCGTAGGTCCTACAGAATCTGAAGTCTCAAGACCTTGCAAGGAAAACAGCATTTTCTGCAGCCATGTTATTCTCCTAGATATGAGTGCAATCAACCCCAGACTGCACCCCTGAAACAATGGAGCTTCCATGGACACGGCTTCAACGGTGTGGGCTTTTCGGATGGTGAGGCTTGTTCTCAAAGCAAAGACGTGCAGGCTCGGAGGTAAAGATTTCTGGCTGATCGAGCTATTTGCACAGGAGCTTGGGTTCTGGCGGTTTGTTTAGAGCTTTAGGTGCTTCAGGATTGTCAACCCTAAGCCCAAATCGCTACAGGCACTATGAGTCAACCCTCAACCCTAGCTTGAGGTACAGGTATCATTACTTCGAGCTGTTTTTTTCGGGCTGAGGTTTTAGGGAAGAGGTTCGTCGGATTTGGGGTCGATTTCGAGGGAGGCATTCTCACGAACTTTGGCTATGGCACTGTGTCAGCGCTCCAGGAATCCCTCAATCGCAGTGAAGCAATGAGCCCTTGCAGCCCATGAATCTCGGAGGGAAGAATTTGATATCCCCAGGGAACCTCTCTCAGTCTTGGGTTCGAGTGGAGCTGTTGTCGCAAATGACATGTTCAAGCTTCCACGTTGTCATTGTTGATCTGAGTCTGAATGGCTATAGCCCGAATCCCAACCCCAAGCCCAAACCCGAAGCAGCCCTCGACCGAACCTCTGCTTCGGCCAGGAGTGTGTGGAGTTTCGCCACCTCTCTCATGAGCTTGGTGCTCTCATGTTTCAAGCCCTTCAACCCCGGGCTTCCTTTGTAAGCCGCTTCTCAAAACTGGGAGCTTCCAGCTCCTAAACCGATCTCCGCAAGTATCACTTATCGCATTCACAACCCCTTCGGAAGGAACCCGGACCGTCTCCTAAACCTCCCGACAAGAAAAGCCTCAAACCCTTCACTGGTAGTAGGCAGCCCGCGCTCAAAAGGTACACATGATCCCAATACCACAGCAGCCACAGCGACACTTCCGTTCGTCAATATACGAGTACATTTGTTGTCCTATAGGTATCCCCCTCACCATCAAAACCTTAAACTTAAAACTCCGACACCAATGCCTCTTCCCTCGACTGCGAGGACAACCGTCGACTCTCCTCCGTGGCCGCTTCTGCCGCTGCGGCGCGGTCGGCCTCTTTGCTGTGCAGCCGGCCAAATTAGCTATGGGGTTTAGGGTGTCGGGGCTTGGGGTGGGGTTGTTGGTGTGCGAGCTTAGTGGTCAGGTTATGGGGAATGCTAGCACGACTACTAAATCCAAACCCACCTAAAGCTGCATGCTGAGTCGCGTCTTTAGGCCCGGGCTTTTCTCCGGAAGTTTAGGGCGCTGAAGGCTTAGACAGGCTAGGGCTTCCGGATCCCTCCAGCAGTTCAGCATAGAACCTCCTGGTGCTCCTGCAACCAGGAGACCCCTAAATCGTGAGCCTGACAGAGCACGGAACTTGACTGGAGCAGGGCGGGAGCCAGGTCTCACCTTATTGTGGGGAGAACGCGATTGAACAAGTTCTGGAATACCAAAGTATATGGGAATACGGAGTGTGTGACAAATTCAGCATCCCCGGCGAAACTTTTAGTCGACTGCGCCCCCAGGGTGCGTCTCGCAGAACAGCGGTCCATAATCCCGGTACGCCCAACGTATGAGCAAGATCACGAAAGTAGCCACCCTGTGGGTCATCCCATATGTAGTCCGTGAACCTATTGAAACTGGAACTCTACAGCCGTGAAGAGTCCACAACCCCGCCGGTATGTCGACCCCAGCAACCCTGGAGGCAAAACCCTGAGCCCTTGCGAACTGTTGAACGAATCATGATGAGCATGAAAAGACCTTTGCACGAGCTTACAATGGACGGACGAAAGCGGCTTCTGTCAGCACCTGCCGAAACAAGCTGCCTGTTTGTGCCCCGCTCCAAAAATCCAAAGAAGCTAAACCTCTGTCTGCAGCACCTGAGCCAGGAGACCTCGACCGCCCTACCCTTGAAAGCCGCACGGCCTCCCGGCGATGAGCAGCCACCGCACTCCGCAGCTCCTGGAAGTTGTGATCAACGAATCAACTCTAGGGGTTTGGGTTGTAATGGGCTTGCGGCTCTGGGTTCACGGGTTTGATGGGCTAAGGTTGATTAATAGGGTTCAGGATTCGTTAATTATGGGGTTAGGATCGTTAGGGGCTTGGGGCTCATGGACTCGGGATTGAGCATCAAGCGTTCCGCAAGCGAAGTATTTTTGACTATGGGCATAGGAGTCAGACCTTTGGATTAAGGATTTGTGGTGTGGGGATTACACGCAGCAGGGTTCGCGAGCTGTTGTGGTGCTCGTCCGGCTTTCTTTTGCTGCATCAAGGTTTGCGTGCCCTGATGCGTCCAGGATTGTCCTCAGACTATAAAGTCGCCTTCGAGCATCGCGACCTGCTTACAGAATGTCTTCAGACGCGGGAGGATTGTGTCATAAACCCGACAACATTAAGTCCAACAGTGGCGAGCACGTACGTTACTTATCGATCTCCGTCGTCCCACAGAATCCACAGGTACAGTCTTGAAAGGGAACTGTTTTATGGCAAGTTATGGCTGTAGTCAGTCTTGTCGGCTACTCGCAGAGTTCTGCACGACGGAGAAAACTCCACGCCCGACACCGAGATTCACGGCCTTACAGCTATCCAGCTCAGCTTCAGGATTCATAGCACGCCCAAATGGGCAATTATACTATCTACTTAGTTACTAGGACACGGCATCAAGGTGCAACTGCCCCGACAATAAACTCAATCCGAATTAAGCAAGGCCATCGAGCGTTAAAAACATGTAGCCTCAAGGGCCAGAGACGGCGGAAGCGAGAATATGCCAGAGTTTTCAAACACGAAGTCCAAAGCCAGATCATGAAAAAACTCTTGTATGCAGAGTCGACCCCAGATCATGAAAAACTCTTGTATGCAGAGTCGACCCCGAGATTCAACCTGAAGAAGAACGCACCATCTTGAGAAACAGCCCTGTAGCATACAACAAGCTGGCAGACACGCAGCAGACACTGAAGCCCAAACCCGACATAAGCATTGCAGGCCCAACCCGAAGACCTATCATCATAAAACCTGAAATCAGAACAGTACCAGACCCAATAGAATGTCCTCGTCCAGAGATGCTAGGCGCTGTCGGAGCTCCTCCTGGTCACGCCTCTGCGCCTCAAAGCGGACTGTCGGAGCGGGATTTCAGGGTTTAAGGTCTCAGCTTTTCGAGATGTTGTGGAGATGCGGGTTGCAGACTAGGATGCTGGAGGCCTACATGCGCTGGTTTCAGTTTCAGCACTCTGGTATAGCTAACCAGTGAACTCCTTTCCGTATATGTACCTGGATATATATATATATATATATATACATACATGTCCCACCCGCCAACCCCTCCGCTCATCCTGCAGCATTAACCCTAACCCTACCTACATCAAGCTGAATCCACAATCAATGTCCTAAGCCCTCTTATCCAGAAGCCCAAAACACTGAACCTGACAGCCTGACAGGCCTTGCCATGATAGCCCAAACATTCTGGCCCGGTGCCCAAGACTAAACTCTAAACCTCCAAACCCACATGCCCAACTACACTCTCAAGCCCTGCAGTGAACGCCGAAAAGTTGGAAGCTTGGAAATGGAGCGGTTGGTCCGCAACCGGATCTTCCAACTTTACGTTTTTTCTACAGAAGGCTTCCGCACTCGCGGCAAGATCACAAACGCTCTTAAGGATCTTCCAACTTTGGTTGTTTGTAATTAGGCTCTTTCATGCCAATCAGCTAACCCACCCCCGCCCCCCCACTCAGCGGATCCATCCCCGCACCATCGCAAAAGGTAAAAGCGCTGGAAATTGTCCCCGGAGCATGCGGGAATCGGACGGGTCTCTGTTTGGCAAGCTAGTCTGGGATTGCGAGGTGAAAATATGTGCAAAGTTGGAAGATGCGTTGTCCGTGTGGTTTGGGTGCTGAAAATTTGGATGCGCATCTCCCAACTTTCCGGCTTTCACAATAAGCCCGAGACCTTTAAACCATAGAAAGCACTGACGCCCTAAACCGACGTCTGAATCCCTGCTGTAGCCTCGGAGACCTCGTCGGCCACAGCCTTGGAAGCAGCGAGCTCCTGGATGCAGATCACGTTACATGTGTGTAGTTCAAACACAAAAACGATATGTGCATTTGTATGTATGTATATATATATATGTATATATGTATACATGTATATGTGTGTGTGTCTACTGCATATGTAAATATGCATGTAATTGTGAGGTTCAGTATGTATGTAAGTATGTATGCATGCATGTATGCATGTATGCATGCATGTATGCATGTATGTATGCATGCAGCGTGCATGTGTGTGTGTGTGTGTGCGTGTGTTCCGAAAAATGTAGATACAGATACTACTTTACATTGCATTACATTACATGACACTGCATCTTCCATGGATATCTTCCAATCCTATATCATTGTAATGTGTTCTTTTGTGTCTGGACGGGCGGTTGATTCAAGCTCCCTTATCCTGACGGAACCTGCATATTGGGAACAGTAATCATCACCATCATGGCAAGGAGAACAAGAACCAAGTTACCGTGATCGGAATAATAAGAATGATAATGCCGAAAAGATGACTAACTGTAACTTAATTCAGGGCAGTCATAACCCTGACCAAACAAACTAATCATACCATGCACTCAACCTAAGCGGTAGGCCCCTCATCGCAGAAGCTCTTTCCCGAAACAACCTTGTTGTCGGAAACCTAGAGCACAAAGAACACGTCGCAAGGTCTCCTTCTGAAGCTTGGCTTCCCAGGTCTTGGCCTCGAGAGCCACGGACTCCTCGGGTCTCGCTGGGCTTTGATGTTCCCGAGCACGATCACAGCGATGAATTATAGTAGCAAGCCTCACTCCCACAACCCAAACCCGACAGGTCCATGGTTCAGCTTTGGTTTAGCATAGTTTTAAGGGTGAAATTGTCCCTGTTACAACTTCTTAACAGCCTAAGTTTATTGTCCTGAACCATCAAGCCCCCGAGGGACCCCTGGCTCTGAGCACCTGGAATCGTGACCCTTCAGGGGATAGGATGGCTTGTTTTGCATGCTTCGTGGCTATTTGTAGCTGTATACGGATGTATGTAATCTGTATGTATGTATGCATGTGCATATAAACATATAGATAATATATTATACATATTCTCTATATATATAAGATAAGATAAGCGAATTTCAAAAGCATGATATTATGTTATATATATATACACATATACATATACATATACATATACATATACATATACATAGACATAGACATATACATATACATACATTAGATCGGTGTGTGAGAGAGAGAGAGAGAGAGAGAGAGAGAGAGAGAGAGAGAGAGCGCGTGCGTGTGCGTGTGCACGGTTGTGTGTGTGTGTGTTGCATGGTGGCCTGGCTCTCTTTCGAACTCATCCCCGAGACCTGATTGAAAGACTAGCTGCCGACCTCGAATTCGAAGCCGAGATAAAAGAAGACCCCCCGCAAAAGCTCCTAAAGGGCTCCTCGGAAAATATACCTCGAGCCCTTCGCTTGAAAAAACTTAGAACTTAGAGTTCTATCACTCTCAAGATTAGCCCAAGTTACCGCATCCCAACCTTGGTGGCCCTAATGCCAAGCTCTGCATTCGTACAGATTGTGAAGCTACAACAAACAGGCTGGGATAGTTGAAGGTAGATGAAACCATCCTATACCTCATACTTTTCCAGACAAGACGCACTGTTTTCGGCCTTGCAGCAGGGGCACATAACTGATCTTAACGAGGTCTTGCTCATGCAAACTTGTTCAAGATCCGGGCGGGGGAGCTGCTGATTCCGAAATCTGAAGCTAGGAATATAAAACAAACATTTTCTGCACACCGACCTCAGACCTAGAGCGGAAGGCTTCGAAGTGCTTCCGATTGTGCGGATTGCGAAGCTCTTTCTCGTGCGGGCCCTACCGGTTGCTCCAGGCTGGTCTACACGCAAGCCATGAGGCCATTCAGCCGATGCCCAGGCGGCAACATCCCAAAACGCCGGCTAAGTTTCTCCAGGTTTGTGGTAAGTTGGCAAGTTGTCATACACTTGCAGCCTCCAGGTCATTGATCCGCGCTTGCAGCTCTGGCACCTTTGCAGGGAGCTGCCACCCCAAAGATCCCCCAAGTACCCTCCTCAAAGTGCTCTCCTTCAGAAGCAAGCCTTCAACCCCTAAAATTAGCTCAGTTTCGAGAGCACACATACTAGAAAAAACAGCACTGCTTCCCCTGAACTACCTCGAGCAGCATACCCGTGCTTCCGCCCTTTTATCGGCTTGGGTAGCGGGGAGTAGGATGGAGCGGTGCTCTGCCAACTGCCTGGCGGCACCTCTGGCCTTGCATTCCTGCAGTCCTCGAACCTTGATTTTGAAAATCGAAAGCCTTCAAATTTGCCTGCAAACTGGGCTTTAGACCTGAACATACCCGAAACTGAAAGCCCTACACCCATCATTGATGGACCTCCAGTCCGACTTCTCTATAAAGGTACAGCCGCTGATGAGCAAGACGCGCTTCGTGCTTTATGATGGGTTTGGCCCCTTCTACTATGACGTATGCATAAACAGCCGCCAGGCTTAAATGCACATTGTCACATAGCTCTCTGCTGCAAGCCCAAGCAAAAGGGTTCAAATGCACTGACAACACCGTCTCAACACTGTAACCTAAAATATCTAAACCCGAAGCCCTGAAACCCAGCTTCGGCTACGGCTATGTATCTAGCTCTGTCAATCCCTTGCTCTTTGCCACACAGAGGCTCAACATCCCAACCTGAACCAGAAACCTTGCTCATCCAGTCAACACTCACTCTACTCTAACCAGCCGTAATATGATCAGTCTTTTCCTCACTCACTTCAGAGGTCCTTTACACTGGCCTAAGGCCAACAACCAAACACCAAAACAATTCTGTTCAAGAGGCCTGCTCGCGAAGGCCGGAAAGCTCTAGCTGGGTAGCTGCCTCTTTCTCGGCCTCTTGCGGACGAGATTAGGGCTTATAGGGCTTATAGGGTTTCATGCACTTTGGTCCGGCAACAATCACACAACGCCTCAGCCCTGAACCCTAAATTGCTGAGGCGTGCTATTCTGACTCTTCCGAAGTCTCCGCTACTTGGCTCCAGGAACCTCGACCCTGCCATGCAAAACAAACCAAACAACCGAGAGCACGTATCTTCCAGGGTTGGTGATAGGGTTTGGGGTTTCATACGGGGTTGATGCAGGGCCTCTATAGTGGGTTTACTCCACGACCGCAAAGAGAACCAGACCAAGAGCTACAGGCGACGAACCGTCGGGCAGTGATTCTGCGGCAGGATTCAGAGTTGAGGTTTAGGGTCTGAAGTCTCTCAACACGAGCAACTGTAGGACGATATCGTCTGTGCTTATGCGAAAGGCATGGCGAGCAACACTGCAGATATAAAGACGCTAAGGAATGGAAACACTGCATACTTGTGGGAATCACTGAGAAACCAAGCGCATCATTCCTGTCAAGGCCCTGCTGAATCCCCAAGGACATCTTGCTAAATCCCAACAAACAAGGAGGAACTCAGTTCAAACATGGCCAGGGATTGCACACGCACACACAGAACCAGTCTCAGAAACCCCTGCTCATCCGGGTCAATCCTGCTGTGAGCTCGCAGTCCGCAGAAGCAGGAGTTCTTGCTGAAGCGCCTGACCAGCTGGTATCTTGAGTTCTTAGAGTTCTCGGCCTGAGTTTGTTTGGGATCCCCAGGTTACGTAGAGGGTCTCAGCGTTTGGGATCTCCGGTTTAGGTCTCGGGTGGTGCATTTTTGGACTCAGCATATCGTGGTGGCAAACACATCAGACAGGAAGTACAATCTGAAACCGGAAAGTTTCAAACACAGAGTTAAGCTGGCCGGTGCGGAGCGTCACGCCCGAATATGCGCCCTTGGCTGATATTCTCAAACCACAACCATGACATATAACCATTGCAAACACCCATCGATACGCCCCGACGAGGGGTACACAAACCAGAAGCAGAAACACTTCCCTCACAATGCACAAACTGACCACACGCCAGAACGACGGCCGCCGTCGCCTCCAGGCGACTGCGCTCCTCCGACAGCTCGGCCTCGAGGGCGCCGTGGCTCAGTTGCTCCTGGGGAACAACGGACAGATTTAGCGCTCTTCGCTCTCCCTCCCTCCCTCTAGCAATATGTGAGAAGTATAATAAGGCCCTGGAGCCAAAGGCTTCAGCTGCTTCATGCCGCATAGAAACGAAGCATAGCATGTTTGGCCTCCCATCACAGGGTTTTGAAGAACTGTCGAGAATAGCTCGGTGCGGCTCTCATCTCATCAGGATTTAGGGATGTTTAGGGGTTAGGGGCTCTGGAAGATGCAGACAACCTGCCGAGGCCCTAGCAACTATAGTTTGGGCGTACCCTAGCTTTGCTCAAATCCTTTCAAGGGATCTCTACCCACTGGCCCGCTGTCACCAACGACCCAGCCACTCCAGGAATCTCCATGCCAAAACCCTGATCCCCCAACCCTTGCCGCCTCCAGCTCTTTGATCCGTGCTTGCAGCTTTGGCACCTTGACAGGGTCTCGCCAAAGCACAATCAACTACTTAGATATCCCACAACCCGCACATCCAAAGCCCCCCTACCTGAAAAAGCTGCTGCACCGCTGTATTCTTACGCACGGTTCTATGTTGCCGGAAGTGTGGGTATGCAGTCCAAACAGCGGATGGAAACTTGGGGTTTAAGAACACGCAGTACGCATGCTTTGCCCTGATGACTCCAGTGCTACTGTTCTATTTGCTCTGCCGACCCCCAAAACATTAATGCTGCACTGCCACATTGCTACACTAAGGACTTCGATGAGGGACCTCGCTTGCTTGGGCGAAGTAGGTTCAAGAATGCACCAACCGTACTGTACTGCCTTCTCAATCTCAGCCATTCATTTCGGGTTTCAGTGTTTACGGACCAGGGGTTCAGAATTCAGGGGTGTAGGGTCTTGGGCCAGGAATTACCCCCCAATTATCAGACTAGAGGGTTGATAGTGCTCATAGTGTCAGTGTTTCCACGGAATGCGCGCTTGGCTTTGCAGCATTCTGCAGCAGGAACAACGACAGCTTGGAGAAAGTGGTTGAGGGCGGCCGCTCCGCACCATCGCCACACATAGAAGCTAAAGGTGGCTACGTGTCCTGCTCCGTGTTCCAAGCTTCAAACGCTCCGCGCCCTGAACATTGCCCGAAACACCCTGCAACCGACAGCCCTATACTAGAACCATCCCCGCCCAATGGCCTGCTCCCGGACACTGGAGAGCTCGAGCTGTGTGGCCGCATCTTTGTCGGCCTCTCGCGGCTCAGATCGGACTACGTCTCTCATTTAACTAGCAGTACCAAAATTTCATTCTACGATCATGGGCACTTCGGTAGGCATTCTTCATGTCACTACTATGCTGTCCTTAAGATTGTGGCGAAGTCAGCAGCAAGCTAGATAGAACACAATCGCAGAGCAAGATGGCGAATGCTGCCAAACCAAGCTGCTGTGCAAGCTGAAGAACCCATGTTCTCTGTTGAAGATGCACATATCGTGCTTTGCTTGACATTAAGGACTTTAGGGTTTCGGGTTGAGGTATGCATGACTTCTCTTGCCTTCTGCGCTACCCCTTGAAATATTACTCCTGTCAGTCTTGCGTTACGATCGTTTCTTTTCTGCGCTCACCTTATCACTATCGTTCTCGGTACTGGTCGGAACTAAATGACCGAATATGTCTGTGATCTGACTGTGCGGTCTTGTTGTCATATGACACGTCCCATGCGCTCTCCCGTCGCTATTGTTGTCAATGTAGTTGCTGTCCTGATGTCACCCTCGTTCTTCCTTAACTCAGTCCTAGCTACCTTGAGCTGCTCTAAACCAACTTCCTTGTACAATACCCGGGCATTTCTGCACTCAAGGCGAATCGCAGAGACTGCAAGTCTGTGGAAGGAGAGCCTAAGGCTGAGACACCCTTCTTGGGTGCCCAGATCCCCTAGCCTCAAGCCGTGTTCATGACAGTGCTGATGCTTTCGTCTAGCCTCGAAGGTGGCAAAAACGCCGATTTTGAAAGTACGGTCAGGAACCAAAGTATGTGCCTGACGGCTTGGAGAGCACTCCAGGGCTTTGCAGGTTACCGTTTCTCAACAAATGTAAACCTCAGTTCCTCAAAATATAGATGGTCTAGAGTCGGGTGTTTAGGATGAAGTGTGAGGGTTCGCCCAACCACTGAGTACACGCAGTCTGCTTTTACTCGCCATTAGTACAATGCTGCTAGAATTAACACCCGCAGTCATCGGACCCCATGTCCACGAATCTACCTTGCTTGAACTACGACCTACGACTAACTTGCTGTACGTAAGCTCCCTCGAGGGCTTGCAATATCAAGATCTTTCTCAAGCGAGGAGGCCTTAATACGAAACGGTTCTCGTCATGGTGAAATCTTAGACTCAAAGAGTCTAAGACAGCACAAATACGACTGCGCACCTGCTCTGAACTGGTTCGCTTGGCAGATGCGAGCTCCTGGTGACATAAAAGCTGCTGAAGTAGGTCTTACGGTCAGGGTCTTCGGGTGTTCAGCTTCGACCCACGTCGTGCAAGCGACTGTCTTTTGTGGGCATATTCCTTGGAAATGCAGAAATTACAAGCGAGACCAAATCGAAAGAAAGCAAATGCCCCAATTCAATCCACAGAGAGTGCGAAAAAAAAATCGAAAGAAGAAGTGCAGAATTGCCGGGCTGCTTAGGGTCATGAAACCAGCTTAGAACATGCCATGAGAAGCAGGAACGGCCTAAGGCCAACGCATCTCTCCCCATTTCGTCGTTTTCTACATCTGCATGGAGTCAATCATATAGTCAACCCAAGACCTACGTACAAAACCAAGCATACTAGGTGCTGAACCAAACAACTAAGCCATTGCGATAGGATACTGTGACACCGACATTGCTGCGACCGAGTGCGAAGCACGGCGATTCAGCTCGACTTCGTCTTTCTGACTTCTTGGCTCAGTGGCCCACGGGGTGCACAGGTTTGCGTTCCCGTGCCTCCCATGCGACGTGTGGCTCCAGGAACTGAAGCCTCGTCGTGCCTTGTACTTCACGAACTCGACTTGCAAACCGGACACGCGAGCGACTTGCTCGTGCATGCTCTCTTCGATTTCTTCTTCCTCGCGGTACGAAGAAGTAACGCGAATAACAGCTATTGAGGATCCGACGATAAACAGCATGGAGATTAGCCAACTGACCTGATATGAGAAGCACTGACGTACAGGCATCAAAATGCACAGATTGCGTAGATTCCCCTTTATAGGGGCGTAAGAAGTGGATCCTAGTGTTCAAAGTACGATGTAGGACCTCTAAAAATCTCCCTTCTCATTTTGAACTCTTGCCTCAAGAAACCCTACTTTTCGGGTCTTCCTTCGGGGGCTTAAATCTCTCGTGCGTCGCTAAGCTACTCCAGAAAAGCCTTCTGCCAGTCCTCACGAAGGGACGCAGACTCTGCGTGGAGGTCGGCTATCTGTGCCACCTGCGCCTCGTCAGCCAGCCGGGGTTTCTGAGGAGGTCTTGAGGTTAAGGGTTTATAGAACTTGAGGTAGAACTTGCGGTTTCTTGTTAGGAGCACACAATGTAGACCCAGTCCGAAACCTGAGACGAGTTTGTCTCCCGCCTGTGCTATTTGGGTATCAGGCAGATAGAGACATTGCTGAACCCTGGCTCCTAAAACTCAAACTCACATCTCTAAACCCTAAAGCAATCAAACCCTCAGCTGAAAGCCGTCAGAGCCTCTGCTTCCGCCAGCCGAGAGGTGAGCTTTGCTACCTGGCACGACGGAGACGGTGAAGTGCTGCATGTCACTGGGGTGTGGTCAAAGGCTTGCATGCTTGCCAATGTTCACAGCCTTGGCATGTGAAAGCACATGTTGAGATGATGGGTTGTGTTCTTTGGGACTAGCTCTTTTGCAGCGGCATCCCCATCCATGCTGAGGAAATGCGCTGAGCACGTGCCCTGGGGCCCTCTGACCCCCCATCTCGATTCCATGTTCCTGTTGGAAAACATCGGACGGCAACGTGCACAGATTCTTCGCTTAACATAGAAAGAGGGTGTTTCTGCGGTTCTGTCTCTGACTTGTGGCATTCCTTGATACAACTTCTTCTGACCGTGCCTACATGATTAACTTCTGACAGATTGACTATGGATTTCGGACACATGTTAGCGCCTGAATAGCAGGCCTGGCAGGTCCACGAAGCTCACTGGGAAGTGCATGAGCAGGTGCTGATTAACGGCATACGGGACTAGCTGACTAGCTGGTTTTAGTTTACGATGAACTCGAAAACTCCGTACACTCTACATCTTTTCAAGGCCATGCGAAATCCATGTGGCGTAATCGAACTAAGCCCCAAACCATTCTGCTAACATCAAACACTACGTAGCTATGAACCAGGATACTGTACGCCCGGAAACCCCAAAAAGCTGAAACGAGCAAAGAGCAGAAAACCCCAAAACCCATAAGCCTGAGAGCCGAAATCCGTGACCCCCTCCGGGGGCATGTGCACCTCCTCTTTTTGGCTGTCGAGGACAGAGCCGAGCTCCTTGCGTTTGGCTTTGGCGTCGAGTTTCGGAATTCAGGGAGTTCCTTAGGGTTTTTAAGGTCTATAGGGTTTCGGATTTCAGGGAGTCCCGTCTCTAAGGGTTTAGGGAGAGGCCACGGTGGGGCTCCTCTGATCGGCTTCGATGGGCCGCTGTGGCCGCCTCGGCCTCCAGCAGCTCCTGCGCTTTTGTTGGAAGGGGGCGGAGGGGGGGGACGGTAGGTTTTGAGACCTGCGCTCTCCAACGCCTCGTAGTGCCTTGTGTGCGTTCAACCGCTAAGTATGGTGTTGATCATGTGTAAGCAAAACTGAGCTGCAAATCTGCGATCGCAAAGGCACCCTTTGTGTCTGAACGGTTTTAGCACCAAGGGCTTCGGTTCGTAGTCGTAAGTGTGGGTCTATGTTAGGCATTGCGGCGGTCTATATTTGGGATTTCGGACCTCCTGGTTAAAGGGGGTCGATGCTTCGGATTTCCTCTTTCGGTCTTCGGGTTTTCTTGCCAGTGGCCCCGACTACATGCCGGGGTGCCCTGAGGACATTCTGCGGCAAAAACACAGAGATGTAGCATTGAGCCATGTTTCCAGAGAACGTGTTTCTAAGCTGTCGTCGAGTTGTCCGCCCAGATGCTGCCCGTCCCCCAGAACTTGGTCTCTTGGTGCCTTCTTCCATACATGTTGCGATGTGTGGAGGGTCTGCGTCAAAGGTTCACCTCAAGCACCACACCTACATAAATCTATCGAAGTCTAGCAGTTTTTGTCTCTAAGTAAGTGCTTTAGCAGCTTTGGGACGGGAGCAGAATAGAGCTTGGGCTTTCGAGCCTCTGGTTTGGAGACTTCAGGGTGTTGGATTTGGTACTTCGGTTATAGGGAGTTAGAGACTAACCTAGGGTTTAGATTTAGGG